CATAAACATATAAATTTCGTAGGAGATCTTCTGACAAACCATCTAAACTTACAACTATTTTCTTTCAAACAACAGTCCCACTTCTGACTTTATATAAAACAGGAATATATGTTGAGGAAAAAAATCTAAATATTAATCACTAGGAAATAAAATTATGTATTACAAATAAGAGTATTCTTTATATAATCAGTATCAAATGAAAAGCATTAAGAATATGAATAATTTCATTTCATTTCATTTTTATTTTAAAATCCACTTAAAAACCTTAAACTAGACCCCACAGACAATAGCAATTATTTCTGTGAAGATAACTGACACATGGCAATGTGGTTATGTTGTGGCTCAGATCTCTAGGGTTATATGTTCAGGAAGGGATTTTTGCTATTTGAAGTTTTCTTATTGAACAAATACAATTTTCTAACACAAAATTTCTCCACATTTCTTAAAACTGTTCACACAGCAATTCAAAGACACAATTTCTACCAATTGGAGGTTTCCATCAAGTTATTATTGAAACAAGGAGCCGAGGCCGAGTTGGTATAGGTATTGGAGAATAAAGGCTAAAGGGTTTTAATAAGCAAGTTCTGATGGGAAAGATTAAAAACTAGGAGAGTACAGCATGTAAAATATGTTTTAAAGGATGGAAGGTATCACCAGAGGTTTTAAAAAATTCAGTCTATAATCTAGGTAGGGCAAATGACTAAATGTGTCATTGCAAGGTTACTTACATGAAAAACCATGAATAAATGCAGCTTCGAGTTCTTCACACTGATCTTTCCAAAGATAAAAATTAACAACTAAAGCTGATCGACACATGCTGGGATCTGCATATACCAATATGACAGTACAGCTTGTTCCAAGCCTTGATATCCTCCCCTTACACCAGTCCTCCAGAAAAGATGCAAACTCATGCAATTTTAACATTTTAGTAAAAAAAGAAGTCACATGTTACATAAAACACTATACCAAACATATTTCACCAACACATAAAATTCAAGAAATCTTTTATTTTCATACATCTTGAAACCTGTTATTTTATACTGATAACACATTTGAATTTGGATTAATCACATTTCAGACTTAATAGCAACATGAAACTAGAAGATATTGGCCTGCAACCTTGTATTTGTAGACAAATATGACTACAAGGCTCTCTCTAAACTCTACACCAACCATCATGATTTAGATCAAAATATACCATTGGCAAACCTTATACACCATGAAACATTAAACAGTCTAAAAGCGATACTAACAATAAATAAATGGCAAAGGTGGCTGGCATAGGGAATTTAATTCAATCAACAAATACAATGGTGAACTGACCAATTTAACAAATTCATTTCTCTAATTTCTTTCTTGTGTGATCATCCCAATTTCCCTATGACATTCCATGAAAGAAGGAAATGCATGTAACTTTATTGCAATTATATCCTTGGACCTTAGCTGAACATGTAACACAAGGGTAGAAGTACTAAAATTGAGTGAACAGACCTAAATTATCAGGCGACATTAGCTTGTCATTTCATACTATTTTCCAGTAAGACATATTCTGCATTTTCTCAGCGAAAACAGTGAACAGCTAGATTGGAGGAATATTGTCAAAATTACTATCCTACCCAAAGCTTTCCACAAAATTTACTGCAGTTCCCATGAAAAAAAATCTAAATGACATTCCTTAATGACTTCAAATTAATATTAATAAAATTTACATATAAGATAAAACCCCCATGAAAGCTAATGCTATCCTGAGAAAAAGAAGTTGGGAGGTATCACTTTACTAGATTTTAAATTATACTGTAAGGCTGTAGTAACCAACTTGATATTGGACTATGGGGATACTATCACATCAGTGATTAAAACTGAGAACCCAGTGATAAATCACCAGATATATGAAAAGTTAATCTAAGACAGTATCTAGGTGCATGAAGTGAAGCAAGAAAAGCCTCTTCAATAAACGGTACTGGAAAAACGACTTACAATATGAAACTGGATCCACATCTCATACCACATACAACTGGATCAAAATCAGAGCAATCATTAATGGCCATGATCCAAATCTCTCGGAAAAGAGGAACAGACTGCAGAAATGCCTCTGGACCCCAAAGTCAACATTCAGTTAAAAAAAAATTTAAGTTCACCTCAGTTGTATCACCGTTTTTAAATTTTCAGAATTCCTGAAGCACCTGGCCACAGCTTTTGCGGCCACGTGACATCCCATACTCTATAACACTGATGAACCAAGAGTAGCACACCACATTTGATGGGGTGTAAAGTAGAATGCAACCAATCTTAGGGGGAAAATACACAGAAGGCTCAACCTTCATGTTAGTAATCTCTTACACAAGAGCTTAATGGTTCCAAGGTGAAATACTACAATTTTCACAAAGCTCAAGAAAACTTTTTTGTATCATTTTTAGCAGAATACTCATAACAAGCAATACAAAATAAATTATTTAGGTCCTACTTTTCAGGCAGGCTTTGGGGGTTGAGGTGAGAACATTTGAAATATGGTGGTGGGAAGGTGTCATGGTGATGGAATTGGTGTTGAAATATTAAATGTAATAAAATATTGTGAACAGCTTTATAAAAATAAAATTTTAAGAGAAAGAAATGAAGGGAGGAATTACAACAGAACACCCCCTCAAATCCAAGACAAAAAAAAAAAAACCAAAATCAGACCTATTAGGCCAGAAACTATAAAATACACTTAAAAAATAAGCAAAGATCTGTATCTCGAAGATGTTTTCAGTGACTTGATTCCATTGGTAAAGACAACAAAAACATAAGGAAAAATGTGGAATATGTAAGGGTAAAGTTTTTACATGACCAAAGAAATGCTGGTTAAAACTGAAAGCACCCTATCATTTGCAGAAGGTATTTACACACATCAAATAAAGGACTAATGTGCAGAATTTATAACAACACTGACAAAGTTCAGTAACAAAAATGTACTCCCAGACAGAAAAGAAGAATGACATGATCATGGCTAATACTACGAACAAGTATTCATTATTACAGTATCAGGGAAACAATGAGGTTATTGCCTCAAACCAATATATATACTGTGGTGAAAAGGGAGCTCTCATTAACTGTTATAGGTGGGAATGTTGTCTGATCCAATCTCTACATTAAACAGTAAGATTTCTCAAAAAGTGTTAGGAGGGGCTGGAGTGATAGCACGTAGGGCGTTTGCCTGGCATGCGGCTGACCCGGGTTCGATTCCCAGCATCCCATATGGTCCCCTGAACACCGCCAGGAGTAATTCCGGAGTGCAGAGCCAAGAGGAACCCCTGTATATTGCTGGGAGTAACCCAAGAAGCCAAAAAAAAAAAAGTGATAGGAGCTCTCATATGACCCAGCTTCTAGGGATCTAACCCCCAAATGCATCATTAAATCAAATGTGTATATATACACACACACACACACACACACACACGCATACCTAGGTTCACAGTAACAGTAACACTTAACCTATGTTTACAGATGCATTTACTATCAAACAGAATAAATCCAACATGTGAATACATAAAGAAATTGTGGTATATGTGTGTGTGTATATATATATATATATATATATATATATATATATGCAATGTAATACTATGTAGCCCAAGAGAAAATAAAGTGCCACACAGCAACTTGGATGGAATTGCAAGAGACAAATAGCAACTGACCTCACTTTTCTGTGGCATACAGAGAAAAGGATTAGGAGTATGGGAGATTATCGGTTCATAATAAATTCTGGACACTGGATTACATATCAGAGTGCCAGGTTGAGATGGGTATTGGGGGAACAATGAGGTGAACTGTAAGTAATATGTAGAAGTGGAGGATATAGGGCACACTAGTGGTGGTCAAGTGAACTGTCAGTGACTGTTAACATCAGACCACAGGTGGCATAAGGAAAGGGGTTGAAGATAATGGGCACTTTGGTGGCCATGATGTGCAGTAACTTTTTACATCAATACTATAAACACATGGGCTGGAGCGACAGCACAGCGGGTAGGGCGTTTGCCTTGCATGTGGCCAACCCAGCCGACCCGAGTTCAATTCCTCCACCCCTCAGAAAGCCCAGCAAGCTTCAGAGTATCTCGCCCACACGGCAAAGCCTGGCAAGCTACCCATGATATGCCAAACACAGTAACAACAAGTCTCACAATGGAGATGTTACTGGGCCCACTTGAGCAAATCAATGAACAATGGGAAGATAATGCTACAGCGCTACTATAAACACTATTGTAACCCTGTTACCAAAACTTTAATAAAAACGAAAAACAAAAAGTGGACAGCTGTTGTTTTTCCAGAATTACTTCTTTTGGCCTAAACCCAATTTTTAAAAATTGGTAAATTTCCCACAAGAATCACATTTATCATTACCTGAAGTCTCCTCCTTAAACATACAGAAAGGCATCATGGTTGAGCAAAATGAAAAAATTTAAGGCAATGGCCCTCTCTACACCAACAACCTTCTCGGATTAAAAAAAAACATGGGTGCACTCATGAAATAATTTCCTATGACACAGAAACAGTCAGGTGCTTAACTGACTTCAGAATCTCCAGGTAAGTTAAACAGAAATACTACAGTAGAAAAGATTAAGAAAAAACTTTAAACCCTTGATTTTTACTACTGCAAAATAAAATGTTAATATTATGACTAAAGGTGAAGTTTATTTAAAAACAAACACAAAACCGAATCACAAACATTAATGTTATGAATCAAGTCCTTTTGCTAATCTTGAGTACAGAAACAATTTTATTTAGAACATGAATATTGGGTGAATGCAAGAGTAGAAAGTGAGTTTCTCTTACCTTTCTATCTGTATATACTCAGGTGGCACCTAATAATACTGATAATGCCAAATGTTCAGTTATGCAGTATTAGCACCAAAACCTCTGAATCCAAAGTTTCAATGAATTGACAAAGGCTAGAGAGATAGTACAGTGACAGTGAGCTTGCCTTGCAAGTAGCTAACCTGGATCCCCAGCACCAGACATGGTCCCCCTAAGTCCCACCAGGAGTGATCCCTGAGCAAAGCCAGGATTAAGGCCTGAACACCAGCAGGTGTGACCCAAAAACCAGAAGACAAATAAACTGATTACTAGAACAGACATTTCATATCACTCCAAGCATTTATTCAACTATATCAATTAAAAAATTTTTTAAAAAAAATGAGTATCTTAAATGTACTAAAAGAAACTACTTTTTCTTTTTCTTTTTCGGAGAGGGTTCCAAAACTGGGGTAAATTCTGCTTCTTCACTATGCTTCCTTTTCTTTTTTTTCTTTTTGTGATCAGTCTGATAACCACTAGAGTCACTGCCTTGGAAAACAGGGTCCTGATCCTGATCTTTCTTGTGCTTTTTCTTTTTCTTCTTCTTTGGCTCTTCTTCCCAGATGCCATTCACATTATTATCGCTCTGTAGGTCTGCATCTTCTTTCATGATGCCATCTCCAAAATCCGCTGACTCCATGACACCACCTTCCACTTCACATGGTTCCAAGTCTTTCTTCTTTTTCTTTTTCTTTTTTGGAGGCTTTTCAACAGTTTCTTCAGTGGCAATTTCTGTTACTTCTTCAGAAACTTCAGAGCACTTGGATTGTAAACTATAAATTAACAGTTTAACAACTTTAAAAAGCAGTAAACAAAAAACAATGCCCCAATTTGATTTTTTTCCCCCTGAATGACAGCAGTATTACACAGAATTCTGCCATGAATTCCAACTATTCTATTTTGTTACTTTGGTTTTGGATGTTTTTACACATAAAAACATTAATTCCTTCTGAATATACCATTAGCTCAAGAAATTTGGTCAATTATCATGAAACATCACGCTATTCAGACCAACAAGTAAAAAACCACTGATGTTGTTATGTATTAAAATAATAGAGTTTCCTTTCTACTATCTAAATTCTTGCTTCAAATGATAGTTTCCATTACTGTTCTTAACCTGTGTGATGAAGCAGTGTTACTTTGGAGTCGTGAACTACCTTACACCACTAAAAAAGCAAGGACTGATGAAGTAGCCTCTCTCTAGGATAGGAGGTTTGAGGCAGCACTGGCAATGTAACTATTTATTAAGGTAAAGGTAAAGGCCCTCCCGTTGATCGTCGATTTGCTCGAGCGGGCCCAGTAACGTCTCCATTGGAGACTTTGTTGTTACTGTGTCTGGCATATCGAATACTCTCGGTAGCTTGCCGGGCTCTCCGAGAGGGGCGGAGGAATCGAACTCGGGTCGGCCATGTTGGCCACTTGTAAGGCGAACGCCCTACCCGCTGTGCTATCGCTCCAGCCCAACTATTTATTAAGTAACTTAAAACTCATTCCTGGGCCAAAGAAATAACTCAAGGAGCTGAGCACATGCTTTCTTTGAAAGGGGTCCATCAGATCCCCAACACATCACGATCCCTCAAGTATGATGACAAGGAACTATCTATAAACAGAACTGCAAGTAGCCCCTGAGTATGGCCAAGAGTAGCACCACCAATTCCTCAATTATCCTATTTATGTTTTAAGTATATAATAGCTAGCATATAATAATAATGAATAAGCATAGTATAATGTGCACAAAATGTTCTATTGGACAGCTATTCTAGAATGTGAAGCCCTATCCCTATGTATCAATGTAGAATCTAGAAACAGCTGTAATACAGAGTGGCATGTCTTCTTTGTTAATTCTCGCCACTCAACTTGGCTCCTGTGGGATCAAACTCAACTGGAATTGTTTCTGGCTGGTGTACCTATCATTTGGGGGGGAGGGGGGAGGGCTCAAAACCATGGCGCCTTCCATGAAGTCAAATGCTCTACTACTGAGCAACACCAAAGCCACAAAATATTTTTTATTTTGGGTAGAGTTGTGAACTGAAAGCCCTACACTTGCAATCACATCTTGCCACCAAACAGACTGGTTTCTGTATTTTTTTGGTTTTGGAGCCATACCTGGTGCTAGGGGGCTTTTTCCGACTCAGAGTTCAGGGCACCATGGAAGGCTGGAGAAATAACCCAGATCTCTATGCAAAGCGTGCACTCCAGTCTGCTGAGCTCTCTCCAGTGCGGAACCAAGCTCAAGATCAAAGTAAATCTCATCATTTCAATACAAAAAATTTAATTAAAATACTGATAAAAACAATCAAATTATTTTTCCTCAACTATGTAAAAATAAAAGGACGCTAATTTTAGACAATATGACTTTAGATTTAATAGTTTCAAGATTAAAGGTCAAGTTTTTGTTGTTGTTAAAAAGTAAATATACAAAATACTCAGTAAAACTGACTAAAACTCAGTTTACTAGATTTTTTTACTTTTCTTTGATGGGGCTCTGAGGAGGTAGGAGGGTAGGGTCACACTCAGGGGTGCTCTAGACATACTCCTGGTTCTACTCAGGGATCACTTCTAGCAGGACTCAGGGATCAGACATGGTTCCGGGAATCAAACCCAGGTCAGGCATATGCAAGAAAAGTGCCCTACTGACTACTACCTCCATAGGCCTAGATACACAACTTTAGGATATGTACCTAATGCATGGTCTTTACACTCAAGATTTGTATTTACACTGACTTTATAGTCTGAGAGCACAAATATTCTAACAGAATTAAGTTTTTAAAAAATGAGTCAAATTCACTACACTTAAAATTAAACAGAAACAACAATTAAGCATCAAGACAATAACAACATGATTAGGAACTAACCTAGTAATATTTAGTTTTCCTCGAATGCAGAATACTCCAGCAGCATCTGAGTCTAAACGAAATACTTCAAATTCTAGTTCATCACCTACATTTATCTCCAGAGTTTGCCACTGCTCAGCTGGCATCTGCTCAGGTTTAGGAATGGAGGCATTGAAACACCCATGGACTAAACAGCCAATGTGGCTGAACGACACTTTATTGACTATACCCTGTGAAGAAGGAAAAGACAGCATAGCATCAGAAAGAAATCTCATGATTTGGAAAACAAAGTTTACAAACTTCAAACTAAAGAGAAAGCATCAAAACAATCGTTTAACAGGAAAAGTGTATCTCAGTTACAATGTATGACACATTTTACGAAAACATCATTTTAGACAGAACTTCTATGCAGTGGCTGTGTCTCAATGATCTAACTCAGTATTTCCAAAGTGGGGGACACCAGAAAGGAATGGGCAGTGGATCAAGTAGCTTTGTTATCTGGCGGCACTTCGTTGGCTAAAACGAGGTAGATTTTCAAGGAGGATGGGAGGCACTGAGTGATTTTCTATTTTTCTTTACTTTTTTCCTGAAAGAGGGATAGTAGGTCTCTGGACTGTATAAACAACTATGCACCCACCCATGTTTTCCTCAAAAAGCCCAACTTAACTCCCACTACAGGATTCACTAAGGTGTAGATTACTCCACAGCTGTATTTAAACCAAGGAGCAGCTACTCTTTGATATAAACTACAAGTCAAAAAAACCTCAAGGCAGAAAGCATACGCTTTTTATAACTCAGATCTACATTATATTTCTATAAACAGTATGGATTTCCAAGCCTGAAGAGTATTCTTTAATGATTCAATTTAGCAAGACGTAAAAGAGTCCTTACCAGAAAACAGTTTACCCTCTATGTATAAATCTTTGGGGCATTGGCTTTGACTGTATCACAAAACATTATAGAAGCTTTTAAATTAAAAGTATGTGCTATATCATTTTACACTTAAAACTTTTTCATAAAATTTAAGTTTCCATTTTCCCAATAGAAACACTTAAAAGGCATATGAACAAAAACTGAAATATTAAAAATAATATTAAAATACTTAACTAAATATTTTACAATCCTTTTTTATGTAAAAAATTCCTTACACTTGGAACAGAATAAAACTCCACTATCTGTCCACTTCAACTTGATATCCCCAAAGGTTGTTTCTGGATCTTCTGGACAACTACTTTTATACAATTAACAATATTCAGTGATCAAAAAATGAGCTATCAAGCCAAAATCATAAATTAAGACATGGTAAGGATTAAAAGCTAAACTAAACACCTCCAGTTAAAGAAGTTAATCAGAAAAAACTCCATACTGTATAATTAAAACTATAACATTCTGGAAAAAGTAAAACAGAATGAAGAGAAATAATCAATGCTAGGGTTTCAGAAAATGAGAAAAGAAAGAAAACAGTAAAGGTAAAGGTAAAGGTAAAGGCCCTCCCGTTGTTCATCGATTTGCTCGAGCGGGCCCAGTAACGTCTCCATTGGAGATTTTGTTGTTACTGTGTTTGGCATATCGAATACATCACGGGTGGCTTGCCAGGCTTTGCCGTGCGGGCGAGATACTCTCGGTAGCTTGCCGGGCTCTCCGAGAGGGGCGGAGGAATCGAACTCGGGTCGGCCATGTTGGCTGCGTGCAAGGCAAACGCCCTACCGCTGTACAGAATGAAGAGAAATAATCAATGCTAGGGTTTCAGAAAATGAGAAAAGAAAGAAAACAGTACAGATAATATTTCTTTATTCTATAGCATACTGTAATGGTAGGTGCCTAACACTATACACGTGTCAAAACCAATATAAAGTACAACACAAAAAAGTAAAAGCTACTGTAAAACTACTCTATAATATTGTATCCATTAGTCTCACTAGTGGGCTGGAGCAATAGCATAGCAGGTAGGGTGTTTGCCTTGCACGTGATCAACCTGGGTTCGATTTCTCCGCCCCTCTCGGAGAGCCCAGCAAGCTACCGAGAGTATCTCACCCGCAAGGCAAAGCCTGGCAAGCTACCTGTGATGTCTTCGATATGCCAAAAACAATAACAAGTCTCACAATTTGTTGTGAGATGTTCCTGGTGCCCGCTCCAGCAAATCAATGAACAATGGGAGGACAGTGCTACAGTGCTACAGTCTTACTAGTTTTAATACACATACCAAGCAAATGCAAGATGTTAATAGGAAAATTCTATCAGTGAGAAAACTATCCAAAAAGGAATAGTATATGGGGCTGTAATAACTGAATATGGACCAAAAGAAAAAAAAAAGATCTTACCTACATCAAAAATAAATTTAACACTGATCACAAACCCATGTGGAAATGCTAAAACATCTCGAAGAATATTTTTACAACCTGGAATAAGTGGGTTCTTAGTGACTCGGAGAGCAATAACCAAAAAAAAAGAAAAAAGAAAATTCCAATTCCACCTAAAAATGGGGGAAAGAAATTAATAGAAACTTCCTCAAAAAAGGTATTACAGATATAATAAAAAATGCTTCGCATCACATATCACCAGGATCAGGAACGCTGTCTCATTTGCCAAGGCATCAAAAATCAGATGGGCTGGACATGTAATGAGGTTTACAGACAACCGCTGGACTAGAGCCATTACTGACTGGATTCCACGGGACGTCAAAAGATCGCATGGACGCCCACCTACAAGATGGTCAGACTTCTTCGTCAAGACCCTGAATGATCGGTTTGAGGCTCTGCATGTTCCTAGAACGAACAGATGCCATTGGGCTACGCTAGCATGCAACAGGGATGAATGGAGACGTTACTGGCTCCCGCTCGAGTAAATCGATGAATAACGGGGATCAAGTGATCACCAGGAAAATGAAAATCATACTACAATGCATTATCATCTCACACAGTGAGGCTGGCACACATCACAAATAACAAAAACAATCAGTGCTGCCATGAGGGGACAAAGGAACCATCATATTCACCGCTGGTGGGAATGTAAACTGGCCCTGGGTTTTTATTTTATTCTCCACCACCACTGATCGCAGTCCCCCTCCCACCCCCCTCATCTCACGCCACCCCTGTGGCAGGGCATTCCCTTTTGTTCTCTCTCTCCTTTTGGGTGCTGTGGTTTGCAAAAGAGGCATTGAGTGGCAATCATGTTCGGTCTATAGCCTACTTTCAGCATGCATCTCTCATCCTGGGAGGATCCTCCCAACACCCTTTACTTGGTGCTCCCCTCTCTATCTGAGCTGCCTTTTCCCCCAGCATGTGCGGCTTGGCCCTGGGTTTTTGTAAAATATGGACACCTACAAAAGCAGAAGCTTATCTTCCATATGACCAGCAATTTCACTTCTTGGCACCTACCCCAAGGGCACAAAACTCTATCCTGAAAAGGTATCTGTATTTCTATATTCACTGCAGCACTATTCGTAACAGCCAAAATAAGACAGGGAAAAAAAAAAAAGAGTGTCCAAGAACAGGTGACTGGCAAAGAAACAGGCATATGCACTATGGAATGACACTCGGCTACAAGTAAAGAGTAAATCATGCAGTATATGGCTATGTACATAGATCTAGTTACTACACCTGTCCATTAGTAAAATCAAGACTGAAAATAAATGTTGGAAAGCAAGCAACGGTGACTTAATATATCAAATGGGAAATTAATCTGACAGTGCTTCTTTTCAAACATATTTATTCTGTGACCTCTAAATTCTTAACTAGGAAAAACAAAAAGATCTACGCTGACAATCACTGTCACTGTCCTCCCACTGTTTATCGATTTGCTTAAGCGGGCCCAGTAACATCTTCATTGTGAGATTTGTTGTTACTGCGTTTGGCATATCGAATATGTCACGGGTAGCTTGCCAGGCTTTGACTGCGGGCGAGATATTCTCAGTAGCTTTCAGGCTCTTTGAGAAGGGGGGAGGAATTGAACCCGGGTCAGTCAGGTAGGCCTGGGTCAGTCAGGTAGGCCTTGCACAAGGCAAAAGCCCTACCGCTGTGCTATTGTTCCAGCTTTAGCTTTAGCTATAATAGTTTTAGACAGGAATAACCCAAATGAATAAACCAACAGTAAATGGATAATCAGAGGGTGATATGTTCATAACTAAAATTATAAATAATAAAAGAAAAATTACCAACAACAGAACAGCATAAGAGAAACAAAACAAAAAATGTTTTTGTTGAGCAAAGAAGCAGAGTTCAAAAGATCATATAACAAAAATTACTGTTACATGGAATTAATGCACAAGCAAAACTTATATATTAAAATCAGAACAGTGGTTTAAAAGAGGTATAGCCAGAAAAAGGCATTGTCATTTCTAAGGAGAGAGAATATTATATGCACTTATTCATTAAATTAATAAAATTCATCATTCAACTTTATACACTATGACCTGTGTAGTATTTTTGCCTGAAAGTTGGTTTTTTTAAAATTATATGATTAAGAAGGGGCTGCAGCGATAACACAGCGGGTAGGGTGCTTGCCTTGCACGTGGCCGACCAGAGTTCGATTCCTCCGTCCTTGGAGAGCCCAGCAAGCTATCAAGAGTATCCAGTCCGCATGGCAGAACCTGGCAAGCTCCCTGTGGCGTATTCGATATGCCAAAAACAGTAACAAGTCTCACAATGGAGACGCTACTGGTGCCCACTTGAGCAAACTGATGAACAAGAGGAGGACAGTGCTACAGTGCTATGATTAAGAAGTAAAAATTTTAAATGGTCAAATATCTGAGAATTAAAAAAGTGAAAAAGAATAAAGTATAAGGGGTACTTTTCACTTTATATTTTCTGTACAATTTGAATGCTATTTCTAGACCCTGAACGAATGGTTTGATGATCTTCATGTTCCAGGAGCAAGCAAACATCTTGCTACACTAGCACGCAACAGGGACAAGTAGAGACGTTACTGGCAGTCACTAGAGCAAATCGAAGAACAACAGGATTACAAGTGATTACAAGTGATATTTAAGAGAGCAATTTAAAGATGAAAGTTTTAAGAGCAAACCTACTGCCAGTTTTAATAGTACAAAGGCTGATTGTGGGATCTCTAGTAGATTGGGTAGGTTAGTACTCAAGGATACTATTTCTACTAGTATTAACTAAAATCAAAAAATTAAACTTGTCCTATAGATCATTTTGTCATAATAAAACCTGACTATGACTTACAAAATCAAGTTAGTTATCAGGTCAAGTAATTCCTGTGTTTAAAACTTTTTAAGAAAAAAATACATAAATATATGGCATATGAAAAGAGAAGAGTTCTTTTTTATGCCAGCAGTAATCTCAGAGCGCAGAAACAGGAGTAAGTCAGAGCACCACCAGATGCAGTCCCCAAACTCACACTCAAATCAGTAGACATCACAGTCATTTTATTTTTGTACTCCCAGCAACTTCCAAAAGCTGGAAAACTTTCCATACATGGCCTTCTTTCCCAATATACAATATTCCCACAGTCCTGACTCCCATCCTCCATAACTTTCACTACAAATCCTTGAATTGCAAATCCTGGTTTTATAGTATTATGTTGTCTGAATATTTCATAAAAATCTGTTTACAAAACTGAAATACTGAAATATTTCCCCTTAAGATCATTATGGCGCAATGCTCCCTCCCCCACCAAAAAAGAGCTGGAGTGACAGCACAGTGGGGTAGGGCGTTTGCCTTGCTCGCGGCCCACCCCGGGCAACCCGGGTTTGATTCCTCCGCCCCTCTCAGAGAGTCTGGCAAGCTACCGAGAGTATCTCGCCCACATGGCAGAGCCTGGCAAGCTCCCTGTGATGTATTCAATATGCCAAACACAGTAATAAGTCTCACAATGGAGACATTACTGGTACCCACTCGAGCAAATCGATGAACAACGGGAGGACAGTGCTACAGACAGTGCAGTGTTATACTATAGGCACGTGATTAGAGGATGATATTATAAACTGAGAAAGGGCAGGAGTGATAGTACAGCAGGTAGGGAACTTGCCTTGAGCTCAGTCAATCCAAGTTCAATCCCCAGCACCATATATGGACCCCTGAGGTCCAACAGGAGAGACCCCTGAGTGCAGAGCTAGGAGTAAGCCCTCAGAACTGCAGGGTGCAACTCTAATACAAACCAACCACCCCCCATTCCAAACAAACAATAAAAACACAAAACTGAAGTAGGCTGAACTGACAGAAAATGTTTCCATTAGTTTTACTGTTACTTTTATGTATGTATACATATTACATATACTAGGAATCCAATTGAGTACCAAGTAGTAATATTTCCTAAAATTTTCAAATTACACTATAAAACTACACAAAGAAGACAAGAAAAAAATATATACAAACCATAAGCTTTTGCCCTGGCTCAGGGCAGAAAATAACAAAATCTGCTTCAATGTTAAGATGAATGTGTCCTTGATCATCATAAATATCTCCCAATTCACCCACTACTTTGATGTTATCATATGCCACAGGGACACCTAAAAGGCTGTTTAAAAAAAAACAAAAAGGTTATCTTCCATTCTTTTAAAGACAGTAGTATCATAATTAGATATTCTGAGTCCTAAAGTATGCACATACAAAATAAAGCCATCCAAGACTTGAAAAAAAAAGAAATATATATATATATATAGTATAAATATTCTGTAAAAATACTCTGAAGATCTCAATGCAATGACTAGTAGGAGGCCAGGTCCAACCCAAAGTACCACAGACTGCGTCAGAACCACTGGGAGTAACCCCAGCCCCCAAGCTAGGAGCAGTTGAGTCCTACTGGGTGTGGCCCCAAAGCAAAAGCTAAAACCACTGCCAAGTTCACAATCACAACTACCAAGAAGGAAGATCTGGTGGCATCACCACTACTCCCTCCTCCACAGAATGCTCTGACCACTGCTTCTCTAGTCCAACTGCACTGCCTGCACGGTAAACGGCCCAATCACTTCTTAATCTCTTCTTAATCTCATTTTATGGAATCTGCTCACAAGTTTGCATTTCACACACAACTCTAAGAGACTTGAGAGCAGAGAACATTTAAGTCAAGCTCTGTGACATTTTTGAATGATTCAGAGTAAGTAACAAGATTCACCCCCCACGGCTTCCCTTTAAGTAAAACAACTGAGAGCAACTGGAAAAGTACAGTAAAGACAACCAAAATAAAAAACTAGAAACACTGAGACTTCCTCAGGAAAGCACTGTCAAGTTATTACTTTCTGCATGTAGTGTTCCTGAAGAAAAACTTTTCCACCACTAAGACAATTTTTGGGACAGAGAAAAAAAAAAGAATTGAGAGCAAGAAGTGGGGAGAGATAACCGCTGTATTTAGACAAAGTGGAAACTAAAATAACTTCCTTTATAGACTACTAGAGTTAGTATAAGTGGAGGTAAACAATACTGTACCAGAGGAAGTATTGGGGCATTTGTGAAGTTAAGGTGGTTGTTCCAAACAGTGGTAAAGTCAAGTAGGGGTTGGGGGTGTGGTTTTAAGGTACTTGCCAGGGAAAAGGACAGGCCTAATCCTGAAGGACCTTTATAAACTGATTGTCTTTGGGGAAGCAATTCACAGCACAGAACTAGGTGGGACCCTCCCAGACATTCTGAAAACAAAGAAACTAGGTTGAGGGAATGCTTTTCTAATTGCCTATTTAAAAGTTCACCTGGAAAGAATGGGGTTAGAGAATAAGAACACACACACACACACACACTTTAAAAGCAACAATGAAAAAACACGAGTTGTCATAAAGCAAGAGGATTGGGATTTTCTTCTTGGGTCCTCTCAAAGATGTAACTTAGAAGTTATGATGCGATTTTGAACACTTTCTCTACGCAGACTTCCCAAAGTCGAATACGAAGTATCTTTAAACACGAAAAAACACAATCCCGTCCGCCACTAGGCACAATCCCGTCCCGTTCTGCAGGTGCAGAACCTCTCCAAAGGGTGGCTGCTACTGAAACGGCAGGCACATAAAGGGGAGAGCCGTAATTCTCAATCCCCTGCCTGTCCTCGTTTTTAAAATAAGAAGCAGCCAGAACTCTCCTTCCACAGGCTGCGCCCCAGGTCTGGAAACAGTAACGGTAAAAAAAATTCACGCGCGCGATTATTCTCCACTTCCTCTAACTTAAAATAATTCTGGACGACTCGGTCTTTTCATTCCCGTGACGGGAGGTCTCGGTTTTGCGGTGCAAAGAGAAACTGTTGGGGGGGCGGAGGGGGAGAGGGGAGAAGGCCACCCGGCAGTGCTCTCCCGGCTCTGCGCTCAGGGATCACTCCTGGCGGGGCCCAGGGGCCACGAGGAGGTGCCGCGGATCGAATCTGGGCGGGCAGCTTGCAGGACAAGTGTCCTACCAGCTGACCCGCCCCCCCCCCCGTCCCTCCTAGCCGGGCTTGGGGAGCCGCTCTGACTTTTCTCACTCGCTCTTTTCCGGCGGCGCCTTAAGAGCGTCCACAGCCGCCGAGGACGCTGCCCGTGCCCCGAAGGCCGAGCGGCTGACTACGCTAAGGACGTGCTGGGCAAAAGGAAAGAGCTGACCGGCCTGATACCTCTCGGAATAGCGCAGGAGCTCGGCGTCCAGCTGCTCCCGGATGCCCGTGCGCTTCCGGTGAAGGTAGCGCGGGGACAGCGCGATGTGTCTGCGGTGCGGCCCCGCCACCAGGCAGGAGTAGCGACTGCTCACCAACGCATAAGCGGCGGCGTAAGTCGGCAGCTCGAGGCAAGGCAGAGCCGCGGCTGAGCCGACCGACGGCCCATCACTGGCCGCCTTTGGCCGCGGGGTCTCCGAACAACCCGCAGCCATGTGGATCTACCTTTCCCGCGGCGCGCGGTAAACACGTCACTCTCATCCCCTTACTTCCGGTCGCCGGTATCTGCGTCATCCACAAGCTGCCACGCCCCCTCGGAATAGTTTCGCTTCGAGCTGCAGCTTGTTAATTCAACCAGCAGGGGGCAGATATCCTTTTACTCTTGGAAGAAGAGCGCCGAGCCAGGTGTGACGTATGGAGCATGCGCACAGAGGAAAAAAAAAAATCCGTCCAGCAAGGTAAACCTGTGTTCTCGCTAGCGCCTCAGCAGATTTACTACGTAGATTGAACCTGATTTTGCGCTTTGATCACATTCAGTAGCAAGTCGAATTGGCGGGGTTTTAATAGTTTGGACGGTAGAAGACAGTACAATGGTAAAAATACATTTATGGAGTATATTTTATGCTGAGATGTCATTCCTAAAAAGTAACCCTAAAATATCTAAAGAAACGTATTGAAAATGAACTCATCACTTCTCATTCTGCAATGGCTAATTCAGAAGCTCGTACTACTGCGTTCCAAGTGGCTCAATATCCTTGTCATCCTTGAGTCTTCTCCTGGATCCTCGAGCATGAACTATCCTCAGTGTGTGTGCAACCCTCCTCCCGTACCCAAAAAAACACTATTTAGAGCTTCTCTGTCCTGGCTACTAAAACTGCAAAACTACAGCATTCTTCAACCTGTGGGAGCCTAGCCTAAAGGTTACAAGGATAGAATAAAAAATCTCACTAATCTCCGAAATACAAATAGGGCTGGCACTTGTGCTGTTAAAGACCCCATAAGAGCATAAATTTCCTCAGTTTAATACAGTTATAAGTAAAAGGAAAAATTATGCTCTGTTTCTGGTTGCTTTTATCACATTCTCCGGCTTGTCCACCCCCAGTCCCTTTTGGTCACTTTCTCACACCCCGTTGCTATTCTGCTCCTTCTGAAAAACAGAAGCTTCTCATATTCATTTTCACCTGCAACCACCCCTACCCCCACTACAGGAAACTTCTAATCTCTAATCTGCTTTTCGACTTGAACAAATACTGCTGTGATGATAGGAGGTCCAAATAAGCTAAAAGCAGTGTCTTCAACATTCTTTGATTTCAAACTCAGGATGAGATGACAGTGAAACCTCTCCTAAAGTGCAAAGAAAAACAGTGTAAGGGGGCTGGAGCAATAGCACAGCAAATAGGGTGTTTGCCTTGCACGCCGCCGACCCAGGGTTCTGCATCCCATATAATCCCCCGAGCACCCCAGGAATAATTCCTGAGTGCAGAGCCAGGAGTAACCCTTGTGCATCGCTGAGTGTGACCCAAAAAACAAGAAAGCAAGCAAGAAAGAAACACAGTTTAAGTCCATAAAGGAGAGTGTTAATAGTCATTGCTTTTGCTCTGAAGTCTCACAGTGGTCCTACATAGGGCCCCTTTGTGAGGTGCTCTCAACAGTTCTCAAATTCACTTGAGGATTAATCATTAAATTACAATTTATTTCTGCAGTCAAAAATGAATCTAAATTTTGTCAGCATGTGATTCATCCAAAATACAGTTTAGTTGGGGTTTTGTTGTTGTTGCTGTTTTAAGACAAATTAAGCTGAGCACAATAAAAATCCCCAGTAAAACAATATTTTACCTTAAATTAAAAAATCTTAATGGTGATTTTTCACAGGTTTCACTTGTACCCCTAAAATGCCATAACAATTTTTTTGGTTTTGTTCGCTGGCCACACCCAGTTGTGCTCAGAGCCTGCCCCTGACTCTGTGCTCATGGGCCACACCTGAATATGGTACCCTGGATCCAGATGTGCTGCTGGGAATCAACCCTGAATCAGTGGCAGAGGTGGAAGCCCCTTACCGTCTTTGTCCTCTGGCTCCTGTCAGGAGAAATTTGGGGAGTTGTCTGGGTCATAGCAGGCAATGTTCAGGGATCAATCTGGCAGATATGGAACCATATTCTGTGCCAGGGATGGAACATGGGTCCATTTCATGCAAGGCTGGCACCCTCCCCTCTGTACTATCTCTCTGACCCCTCCATAACATTTTTTTTCTTTTTTTTTTTTATTTCTTTATTGAATCACCGTGGGAAAGGTTACAAAGCTTTCAGGTTTAGGTCTCAGTCATGCAAATATCAAACACATTTCCCTTTACCAAAACTTATTTTTTACCATGAAGAACCCCAATAAAACCCCACCCCGCACCCCTCCCAGTCCCTGTGGGGCAGATGAATTCTAGTTAACACTCTATCTGCTTTGATTAGATTCATTGTTTCAATAAAAGATTCACCACTATTATTTAGAGTTTACCCACCCACCCCCAAAACAGACATGCTGAAAAAGCATTGTGAAGTGATTTGCTTTCTACAGCTGGGTTCAAGAATTAAATGTTGGTTTTGGATTTCTGCTATTTTACTTATTGAACCTGGAAGTATTTCTACTGAAAGTCAGATAGTTAAGAATTTGGTTTCCGTGCACTGGAGACGTGGCCGTGCTGGAGAGCCACTAGTGGGGGGCAACTGGTGGCCTCGGTAGGGCGTGAAGGGCGGACCGAAACGCCCCCCTTCCCATGAGGTTTTAGTCGCCCCCACTCCCCCGGCTCATACCTGCTGTCCACAAGGCTCCCATGCGGCCGCCATCTTTCTTTCCAGAGAGGAGAAGGCGACTGGGGCAACACCCTTTCCCCTCTGGACAGACCTGATGGCCTGGATTAACGCATAGTCCATTCACTTTTCTGCTCCAAGCTGCCGGGTTCTGCATTAAGTCCTTCTGCTTCTGGGGCCGAGGCCGTGCTGGAGAGCCGCTCGCGGGGGGCAACTGGTGACCTCGGTAGGGCGTGAAGGACGGACCGGAACGCCCCCCTTCCCATGAGGTTTTAGTCGCCCCCACATCCCCGGCTCATACCTGCTGTCCACAAGGCTCCCATGTGGCCGCCATCTTTCTTTCCAGAGGGAGGAGGGCGGAAGGGACCAACACCCTTTCCCCTCTGGGCAGACATGATGGCCTGGATTAACGCATAGTCCTTTCACTTTTCTGCTCCAAGCTGCTGGGTTCTGCATTAAGTCCTTGTGCTTCTGGGGCTGTGGCCGTGCTGGAGAGCCGCTCATAGGGGGGCAACTGGTGACCTCGGTAGGGCGTGAAGGGCGGACCGAAACGCCCCCCTTCCCATGAGGTTTTAGACGCCCCCACACCCCCGGCTCATACCTGCTGTCCACAAGGCTCCCATGCGGCCGCCATCTTTCTTTCCAGAGAGGAGAGGGCGAATGGGGCAACACCCTTTCCCCTCCGAACAGACCTGATGGCCTGGATCAACGCATAGTCCGTTCACTTTTCTGCTCCAAGCTGCCGGGTTCTGCATTAAGTCCTTGTGCTTATGGGGCTGTGGCCATGCTGGAGAGCTGCTCGCGGGGTGCAACTGGTGACCTCAGTAGGACGTGAAGGACGGACCGCAACGTCCCCCTTCCCATGAGGTTTTAGTCGCCCCCACTCCCCCGGCTCATGCCTGCTGTCCACAAGGCTCCCATGTGGCCGCCATCTTTCTTTCCAGAGAGGAGAGGGCGAATGGGGCAACACCCTTTCCCCTCTGGACAGACCTGATGGCCTGGATCAACGCATAGTCCGTTCACTTTTCTGCTCCAAGCTGTCAGGTTCTGCATTAAGTCCTTGTGTTTCTGGGGCCGTGGCCGTGCTGGAGTGCCGCTCGCGGGGGGCAACTGGTGACCTCAGTAGGACGTGAAGGACGGACCGGAACGTCCCGCTTCCCATGAGGTTTTAGTCGCCCCCACTCCCCCGGCTCATACCTGCTGTCCACAAGGCTCCCATGCAGCCGCCATCTTTCTTTCCAGAGAAGAGAGGGCGAATGGGGCAACACCCTTTCCCCTCCGACAGACTTGATGGCCTGGGTTAACGCATAGTCCGTTCACTTTTCTGCTCCAAGCTGCCGGGTTCTGCATTAAGTCCTTGTGCTTCTGGGGCTGTGGCCATGCTGGAGAGCCGCTCGTGGGGGGCAACTGGTGACCTCGGTAGGGCGTGAAGGACGGACCGGAATGCCCCCCTTCCCATGAGGTTTTAGTCGCCCCCACTCCCCCGGCTCATGCCTGCTGTCCACAAGGCTCCCATGTGGCCGCCATCTTTCTTTCCAGAGGGAGGAGGGTGGAAGGGACCAACACCCTATCCCCTCCGGGCAGCCATGATGGCCTGGATTAACGCATAGTCCATTCACTTTTCTGCTCCAAGCTGCTGGGTTCTGCATTAAGTCCTTGTGCTTCTGGGGCCGTGGCCGTGCTGGAGAACCGCTCGCGGGGGGCAACTGGTGACCTCGGTAGGGCGTGAAGGACGGACCGGAACCCCCCCCTTCCCATGAGGTTTTAGTCGCCCCCACACCCCCGGTTCATACCTGCTGTCCACAAGGCTCCCATGCGGCTGCCATCCTTCTTTCCAGAGAAGAGAGGGCGAATGGGGCAACCCCCTTTCCCCTCTGGCAGACTTGATGGCCTGGATTAACGCATAGTCCTTTCACTTTTCTGCTCCAAGCTGCTGGGTTCTGCATTAAGTCCTTGTGCTTCTGGGGCTGTGGCCGTGCTGGAGAGCCACTCGTGGGGGGCAACTGGTGACCTCGGTAAGGTGTGAAGGACGGACCGGAACGCCCCCCTTCCCATGAGGTTTTAGTCGCCCCCACTCCCCTGGCTCATGCCTGCTGTCCACAAGGCTCCCATGTGGCCGCCATCTTTCTTTCCAGAGAGGAGAGGGCGAATGGGGCAACACCCTTTCCCCTCTGGACAGTCATGATGGCCTGGATTAACGCATAGCCCATTCACTTTTCTGCACCAAGCTGCTGGGTTATGCATTAAGTCCTTGTGTTTCTGGGGCTGTGGCTGTGCTCCAAACTTAACTATGATTTTCAGAGAGAAACGTTGGGTGGTTTACTTTGTATATATGGATCACTTTGTATGTAGAGAGATGTCGCGCGGCCGCACAAGCGGCCGCGCAGTTTTGAGGAAAAGTCCTAGTTCCTGCATACTCGAGCTGTGGTTGTAGAGGTTTCTGGTCACCGGG